CGTAACCCTGATCTTAAGCTCTCGGCAAATACACCGACACATCCAGGCGGTGGGCATGTAATTCTTTCACCCGGATATGGTGCGAATAGGTGTACCGACGTAGGAACACGAATTTCGCCCCACAGTATGACGACATCAGCATCTGTTAGTATACTCGGCTCACCGTGGGATGTGACTTAGGGGTCCGGCCATCTTCTAAGGGGCCGCCTCCAGAATCTTGGGTCATCCATGGCGTTTTCTTCTACTAGTTTGTCTCCTTCAATATCATTTAGTCGGATTTTTAAGCGTTCGACTAATACTGGATCCCATCGGCTGTATTCAGACAATAGTTCCATCTCCCCAGAGTGGACCATGTTAATCATCATGACGTCCAACTCGTCACCGCCGGAAGATGCCCACGATATACTCATGGTACGATACAGAAAATATGACAGAAAAGATGAATAAAATGAAAAAAATAGTTCTTACCAAAGGGAGAAATCCGCGGATCTGGGATGCTTTGAGTACGGTTAAAAGACAATTAAGTTGCAAGAAGATAAAAAGAAGTGATTGCAGAAAGAAGATGCGAGAAAAGTGAATTCCTAGAGAAGATTTGCTATTTATATTAAACCCTAAAGCTACTAGCGACCGTTGGAAACCGGCAGAAATAGGGGCGCGTGGATTACACGTCCTAGATTTTCGAGTCGACGCGACTCTTGAAAATCGTGCCTCTTAATAGCAGCTACGTGGCCTATTTTAAATGACCGTTACCCCTATCAGTAAACGGTGCAATTAATCTCAATAAATTGCACTGCTTCGACTCTTAACATTATTCCTACCAAGTGTAGAGACATCGGAGAAGTGATGGTAATACCGACATGTCATGCTAATCCAAGAACTTAGTTGCTTCCTGGTAAAGCTTCAGCATCACCGCCCGTCTTTCGTCAAGACGACCATTAATGCTGGGGGCCACCTTGTTGACATCATTTTCAATGAACCAAGTTAAGCAACGTTGATTAGACGATTATGCTCAATGTGAGGATGATTAAAATTCGTACAAGTACATGATGTCTCCACGGATTTCAAGACGATTGCATAACAAGAAATTCATCAAGAACCGACATCTCCGTTACTTGACCGATATCTCGTGTCGGTTATCACACGTCGGTCACTACATGTCGGATACAACATATCGGTTATAACTTTACGAACCGATATCTATGATGTGCCACGTCAACACTGTAAGGCGGCGACAACTCAGCACAAATCATCATTACGCTTGTCCAAGTGGCGTGCTATCAAGGGAAGTAGCCAGAAGCCGCCTTTGACCTTGAGAAGCCACAAGAAGCCGCCTTTGACCTTTCAAATGTAATGATTACTTTACAGATAAATATTGTAAATAAATATAAAAGGGAAAGAGAGCTCCCTCGGGCAAAAAAATGAAATTTTCGACAATAATATCCAAGAATACTTTCGATCCTCGACTTGACATACGTTCTTAATTATATTAGTTAAAAACTTTATTGCATTAATCAGTGAAACCAAGTTGTTAATTTTCATTTAACAACATTAATGAATATGAAGTTGAGATTATAATGGAGTTTATGAATTCAATGAGGCTAAGTTATGTGTTTGTGTAATAATATGAATGAGAATAAGAATTAAGTTATTTTAAGTTGAGATATAGATTGAGCATGCTATTGGATTGAGTTTAAGTTGAGAATGAATAGAATTTTTATGTTAAGTTAAGATGAGATGTTATCACCTTTATTACATGTTAGAAGGTAATAGATATGGTAAATTTTTAATGAGTAATTCTTGTGTAGATGAGGAGTATTTATGAACAAGAATTGAGTTATTTGGCATGTTATAATTTGAGATAAAGATTTTGAAGTTAGCATGCAAAGTAAAGTTCATGATATTAAGTTAAGAAATGAATGTGTTATTATGATTAGATGGCATATATATTGTATTTCATGGTAAAGTTTCAAGAGTATTTGATATGAAATTTCTCATATTATTAAGTAATAAGTAAAGTGATCAAGTTTAAGTTTAATATGTTAAGAATATAATTTTATAAGAATTGTTTCAAGTCTTGCATATTAATATCATGATTTGATATTATGATTAAAAGTTGTAAGGTATGAGAATTAAGTTATAATTTTCATTACCAAGCAAGTTTAAAGACAAGTTTAGTAGTTTATGAATTATGTAACTGAAGTTAAGAATATGTTTGAGTTTATGTATGTGAAATTTAGTTATTTTCACTTACAAGTTATTTTAGTAAAATTTGAGAATAAGCCAATGGTTTAGATTTTTAAGACATGATTTATATGAGTTAATTTGATGGCCTTAAGTAAAAGTTTGATAAGTTAAGTTGTTCGATGAATTTATGTTCATTCGAGCTATAGCAAGGCTATTGAATCTCTTTACGACTCGGATAAGTTATCAGTTAAAAGTTAAGAATCTCAATATTCTATTGAGAAGGCAACGAGCATAGTACTTAGTATATTTGTTTATATTCTTATGTAGTTGCAGATACATCTATCAGTACAGCACTTACAGTTTTCAAAAGTTTTCAAAAAGAAAAGGTGGGGACCAGACTGGGTATTACATTAAGTATAATAGCTATTACCATGTTCGAGGTATGTATAAAGTTTTAAGTTTTAAGCTTAGGGTGGAGGCCAAGGCCTTAATATGCCATCCTAAAGTGAAGCAAATAATTAAGCTCGCCCAGTCGAGACTGGGTTCTGGGGAGGTGACCACCAAAATGTGATCACGTGAGAACCGGCTCAAGTTACCGGTAGTTGCAAAGTTCAAGTAAGAGTTCAAGTTCAAGTTAAAGTTAAAGTTTAAGTTCAAGTTAAAGAATTATTATTGTTTACTTTAGTATGGATTTTTACGGAGTATACTGAGTTAGTACTCACGCCCCGCTATTATCATTTTCAGGTAACAGGATCGGTGCAAAGGTGTGAGATCAGTTATGGTGGTGTGGATCGAGAATTTGGTTCATTAATTATATTATGGACTTTTAATAAGGTTTCGGTTTGTATTATACCATGCTTATAAGATTTCGCTACGTTTTTCTAATATTGAACATATGTGATAGTATTTTCAAATTTAAAAGATTTATCATGTTCAGTTTTCATACATGTTCGATAATTAAAATTTGTTTTATTATATCTAATCAGTTGTTAGACAAGTTTTGAGAAGACGGATTTTAAAGAAGTTAAGTTTAGTAGCATCCCGAGCTAAGTTAAGATGATTTTGAAAAATTTATAAGTACTTTCAAAATTAAGAAATTGTGAAAAATTAACTCTGATAAGCGGGGTGTTACATATAGACCTCTTCGCTCGTTGCATATCTTTCATGTGGATCAACCTGTTCAAACTTCTGCTCCGTCCTCCCCCATTTTTACCCTGACTGGTTTCTCAATTTAAAAAAAAAAAAAAAAAAAGGTCACATAAATCATCCGAATAAAATCCAACATCCAAATAGGTTGATGGTTCAATAGATATCTCAAATTTCTCAAGGGGATACATGAGAAGTACTCAGTAACTCATATCACTAGAAACTATTTGCACAAGACAAGACAGCTCAAGATCTCAAGAGCACATAAAGAATACTTGTGGGATTATAAAAATTACTTTTGCAAGACAAGAAAGATACAAAACGAGCGAAAAGAGAGCTTGGTTTGTCACCAATTCAGCTGAGAAGTAAAATTCAAAAGAATGACTGTTTACATCTTTGTTGAAATTTCTTGTAGTACTAAACACACGGACATAACAACACATTCCTGACTACAAAAAATATATATATCAATAATAATCCAAAGCGACAAACATTCGTACCCTTAATTGTCACTAAATTCCCCTTCAAGTTCACTAATCAACTCTTATTCCACGACATCATCCTTGAATAATATGTTAACTTTTTTTTTTCTCAACGAAAGTGGAATAAATTCATGCCAAGCCAGAAAGGTTCTGCAATTCATGGGGTAAATTGAAATACTACCAGTTCATATATATATATATATATATATATATATATACTAGATGGGTTTACGCCGTGCACGCACGGCGGTCTAACACCCGGTGTAAAATTACTATGAAAATTTGTCATAATTTGTTGCAGCTTTTATTCTACAACTCAAAAAAGAATAGCAAAAGTGATTCAACTGGTTTTTTCCAATAAACGTAAGATCTCACAAATTCTAGAGTTTGATTTGAATATTTACAGATAAAAGTATCTTACGAAAGAGAATCATGAGCCACGTAATCAATATGATGCTTGTCGAGGAACTCATGATTAATAACCAATGGGGTATTAGGAATAACCTCATCAACCCACTTGCCAGAAAACAGATATCAAATTTTACAATCATCAAATGTGTACACGCACTGCTGACTTAAATCCAGTCTAACAATACACTGAAAATTGTCATAATCGAACTGGCATGTAAATATTTTGAACACAAAGTTTGAAAGGCAAAGTTTTTATAATTCTTAAAGTATTATAAATTGTTGATTACACTATTATAGAGCGTTGGTGAACGGCTAAAATATTATCTCCATGTAGAGCACTCCAATAGTCGATTACACTATGGGCTGTTATACAAAGTTTGGAGATATCAAATCATTTGTCTTTAATAAGTATTCAGAAACAATGGATACAAACTGGACCCTATTTATGTTGAAAAATAAATACAAACTTGCTCGAAAAAAAAAATTATTCAGCCAAAGAAAATGCTTCGATTTTAATATTCAGCCAAACATGTACTTTCTCCTAGTTTAACTAAAAAAAAAACAAAAAAAACAAAAAAAAAAAAAAATCGGACCAACCTGCAAAATCAACAAAAAAAAATCTGAATCTTGTATATATGAGTAATGTCATTCGGCAGATACGAAAAACGATTCTATAATGATTCTTATCGAGCGAACATAAGAAACCGAACAAACCCAAGCAATCAGCTGAAATGGAAAACACCAATGGGAAGTGCATAAAAAATTCTATTCTCCCCCTCAGTCCAAATCCAAACTTGTAATCCTTCTTCTTGTGATCAATCTGCAAGACATAAATGTCCAACACGTAATTACACGAGCAAAAAGAAAAAAGTAAAGGATACGAAGTATGGTAGTTTAAGCCGTTTTTTCTCACCTCAGCCGAAAGGATAAAGTGTAGGCCCATATTAAAAGGCTCTCCAAGAAAGCAGCCACGACACCGTTAGAATCTATCTTTCCTCTTAAACGACACTGCAAACACACCAAAAACACTTGGGAGTTTTTTAAAAAAAAAAAAACAAACAAAAACAAAAGCAAAAACAAAAAAAGTTTGTTTTTGCTAAATGCATGCAGGAGGAAGATACTTGTTCAATGTATACAATATACCTGGCGTAGAATATAATCATATCCAAAGCTAGCCGTGACATCCCTTGACATCCCTTGACAACCTTTTAGTTGACAAAATCAAACGAAACAATAAAGAAGCATAAGAAAGAAAAGGAAGAAAGAAACAAAACCAGATTTACATAAAATGAAATGCACCAGAAACCAGTTTACCTTTTCAGATACTTTCTGAACATAGCTTAAAGCAACCATACCAGTACTGGCAATTTGTCCAGCTGCAACCTGTAATAAAAGGCAACCAGTTATTATATCTAACGCAGTTGATTAAATGGATTTTCTTTCACATCAAACTATTGAATGGACGAGGAAAACATTCATCGAATATGTTCTCCCATTCACCATCTTCTTAAGCATGTAGAGATGATCTAAATATTGAATAACGCACGCACGTGCCCGCACACATATAAATAAGCAAAGCAAGATTAGGCATCTGAAATTGTTTGGTAGTATTTTATTATTTATCAGGAATATCAGAGCAACATATTTACAAAGAACATGAGAACTAAGCACCTTTGTCAAACAAAGAGATCTTTACAGCAAGTGTAGCTTGCAATAACCAAAATAAAATAAATAACATGATATGTTTGAATAGAGGCATTAGTTATTATGCACATCGGAGTCCAATTAACATGTCAGGAGCCGGTGATATAGCTCAATTATATATGGAACACAAAGCACAAGAACACAATTAATTATTAGTCAATTCCAAGTTCACTATTCTACTTTATCTCTTCTAACAGAACATTAATAAGCTGGAAGGCAAATTTGAGCACCGAATATTTCTTACCTCACGTTACATGTAAAGATTGTACATTAAAGTGTGTGATAATCACTAATTGAGTTTACTGAGTTCCCAACATTAAATATCTAACAACTATATTTCATCAAATGATATTCAACCGAGATATAATAAAGATGACCGAAAATACTGAACAAAAACCACCCCGGAAAGGTACACGGCTAAATCGTTGGTTAATGCAAACCATTTGCACATTTACCTCACAAAACAGGGCCGAAAGCCCGTCATACTTTCAATCACACTCTGCCTTGAAAGAAACCTTCAAGGCATAGGCTTCAGCTGGATCCACATTTCTGATCGGCCACCGTCCAATCAGTAATACTTGGGGCCCCAGTTTCAGAAGGTGGACTACAAAATATTCAACAATAATAGTGTGAAGTTGTAAGCTTGTAATTTGTATGAAGTGGATTGAGTTAATTTACACATGAAGCTTGCTTACTTTGTCTTAAATCCAAGGGGTCCCACTCCAGACAATTCTCGACTATCCCCAGCAACACCAGACAAAATCTTCCAGATATTCCCCTCCAAATAAAGGATCCATCAAGCTTCTCAAACTCTCCCGTCCCCCATCCTCTCAGAGAATCGGACCCAAAACTTCCAATAATTGCTCGTCGACCCCTGCATACAACTCGGCCAACTCTTTCCCGTTGAGAATTTCCAACAACACGACCCCATAAGTGTGCATGTCGAGCTTAGGTGATACGACCTCCAAATACTCGGGCGCCATGTAACCATAGTCCTCACGATGTGCCTCGTGAGCGCAAACTGACGATCTATCTGTTACTTAGAGAAAAAAATCAGCCTAGAAACAGGTAAACAAATCCCCAACTCATTAACTTCAATATGCATTGCTAATAGTGAAGAATTGAAATAAAAAGAGATGGAAATTACCTCACAAATAAGATCAGGATTGCGAATAGGATTGGGATTCTGGTGGTTATGAGATATTCCTGGTTCTCTGAAAAAATTCACGCTACCGCTAGCTCTTTCCACCCATGAGCAAAATTCTCATGAGAAAGATCCGGACTATGCAATTGGATTGGTCGAGTTCAAAATTGGCTCCCCCTTTTACAACGTGTCCGAGTTCCTCTTCTCCATGTTGTGGGGCTTCGATTTGTCGGCTTGTTCAAGAGTTCGATGAAATTGAGCTCGTCTTTCACATTTGAGTGCTCATGCCAAGCGACCATGGCAAATTTAAAAGTAGAAATCTGCCCCAGTGCCTTGGTGCAAACCTGCAAGGGAAGAAATCGATATGAGCATTCAAAAGATCAACAAAAAATACCAATTACAGCAAAAGGATAATTAAAAAGTGAATCCAAATGAAAAACTACCAACACTTTCGATAGATTTTGCATAGAAAATAGGCACAAATGAGCTAAAATAGCATCCAAACATCACGGTAAGCGCACAGCTGACAAAGGTAACAAAGTAAACCCAAATACAAAAACTTATCCAACACAAAGTATAGTTATAGCCCCTATAATAATGAAGCACGCACCTTCAAATTCCAAAAGTTAATCAAAGACAACCACCTGGAAGAAATTGATCAATTTAGATACAAGCAGAATTTTGTGTAAATTTAATTAAACCACACAACAGGACAAACGAAAGATTCATTGAGGATTTCAGAGAACATAGATAACATTTTGAGAGAAAAATCAGACGAACGGGGCAAAAATGAGCAGAATTTAGATTGGGTTGCGTGTCTTAACAATTAAGAGAAGAGAGGTGGGATTGAAAAAGGCGAAAACGGGTACGGAAAAGCTCCTTCTCTTTGGTTGCTTTTTGACTCTGACAATGGTGGAAGACGGTAAATCAGGAGTGTTGGGTGTTTGAGTTTTCTTGCTTGTTGTAGAAATAAATAAATAAATAAAAAAAAAGGATTTTAATATTCGGTCAAATTGCGGTGTTGGCGTGTTGCGTAAATCCGCACGTCAAGTCTTTGAAATTGAACGGGAAAAGTGTCAGTAGATAAACTAAAAATACTGCAAAGGTGAAGACATAAAAAAGCGACAACAAAGGGGCATTTTCGTCTGAAAAAAGACACGTGTCAAATTTTGAAGACCACTAAACAGGACACGTGTCGTCTATTGAAGGCCACTAACTTCTTTTTATATATATATACTAGATGGGTTTACGCCGTGCACGCACGGCGGTCTAACACCCGG